GACAGATAACCACCAATTTGCCTTTAACATGCTCTTCACATTCATATGAAACAGGGTTAAAGATTTTCATGGTCAGACTTTCAGGAAGTTTTGCACATTATTGATTAACGCAAAGGGGGTAAAGTTCCCCCTTGCCGCTTGTTAAAAGTCCGTAGTGACATCATGCTGACCAGGAGAATTTCAAATGTTCTGAGTGTACATCCACATAAAAGGAAGCTTCGTAAGAGACTGTTCACGTAAAGAGAGCATTTACCTAGATCAAAACTAATAACATTTTTTTAAGAGAGAAAAATGGTATGTAGAATTTGTGCATCTGTAACATAAACGTAGCTGCGTCGCATATGTGCGAGGAGTGATAGAGATGATTTAGTAGGCATTGATACATCATGTTCTGTTTGTCTTAATTTCAGCAATGGTTTAACCTCTATTCCCCACTTCGGATCAGACTGGATTCGGAAACAAGCGTGGCCGATATGGAGCCAGCCACCGACAATGGTTGGAATGTTGCTAAAGAATCTCCTAAGAGCGACCTGGCTGAAGTCAATAAACTGGACGTTGGGCGAGTATTCAAAGGGAAAGCAGACAAGAAGTAAGCGTAAATCAATTTGGGACTGAACGGCCAATTCATGGATTCGGAAAAAGTTTTCATTTTCACAAAGGGAGGGGCATGTCAAAATTGACAAGATATCAGATTTAAATTTTTTTCTTTCTGTTTTATGTGAAACATTGTACTGAACTATTTTGGCATTCTTCCGTAAACAAAAAAGTCATCAATTTATAAATTGCATTAAATTTTCTGTATTATTTATTATTAATTCCTGAGGTGTTCAAAATGTATTGCCTTGAAAGGCATAATAGTAGGTCAACTGAGTTTTCGTTGTCACGAAGGGACAAGCATCTCTGTTACATTTTCAACTGCACTTGTAAACACTCATGTCCCTTCCCCATGGAACAACATTTTGAACATAGAGGCATAAATGTAAGAGAACTTGGCTTTTAATTTTCATGAAGGGACAGGATATGTGTCATTCTAATATTGGGTTCACATAAAAGTTTACCATTCAAAGAAACATGTGCAGGGATCCTCACGGCTTGAAGTTGATGCAAAGTAGTAATTTTTTGAAAATAGGGGAAACTTCTCTTGCAAGGTTTTGAAAGTGTTTTTGTTCTTCAAAATCCACATGCCTGTCCCTTTGTGAAAACGGTGACAGAATGTTACCATCGTCCCTCATGTGTGATGCTCAGTCCTAGATCATCTGGAAGTCTTTATGAGTCGAAGATTCAGATCAGAAAAAAATTGACTGGAGGATTTGAACCTGCAACCATTAAAGTAATGTACAGTACATCAAGGTGGTGTTCTTGAGACAACTTGTGTTAATTTCAGTGTGATTGCCATAAGTGCTTTTTACCTACCCTGATAATTAGTCATGGCATAATAGAGTGAAGTGAATATTATTTTCAAGATCTACAGAATATTAAGTCAATCAGCCTAAAATTTGTGATTGGTAAGATTTGACATGCCTAAACAGTTACATTTACAAATAATTTCCTAAATGAATTACTGGGTTTAAATTACTGTGGCGTTGTTGAATGTTGCTGTGATGTTTTCTTATAGGTCAAAATCGTCTCAAAGCAAGAAAAAATATGGCCAAGTTGGAAAGTAAGTACAGACTTATCACTTGTGCATCCCAAGTGGTATGAACTCGTGAAAAATTGTCATTCGTGGCAGTTTTATCATGTTGGTTGTTACCAGTAGTTTTAAGCAATAAGAAAAACAATGTTGGTTATTGGTTTGAGTCTGTGGTTGTGTTGCCTTCAAAGATAGGGTCATAGTTTGGTTTTTGTTAGGATAATGCGGATTCATAGGCAAAATTATCAAGAAAGATACAAAGTTTTGATTGGCTGGAGTCCAGTCGATTAATTTTGGAACAAGTTGTAATGATACCTGAAGTCAAGATGAAGTCCACATATTCTGTCGAAGCCACATCAAAACTGTTTTGATGAGAATCGCATTGTACATGTGTACATGTATTCTGCGCATTCCTTGACACAGGTGTTTGTCCAGTCCAAAACAGACTGATTTCTAGTCATTCTAGAAATGTGAATTTTGTTTGGAGAGTTTCATAAATTGCCCTTCCTTATTCCTGCTTTTCTTATTGCAGACCTCTGTCTGGAGCCACGGGTAACCGGTCCAGTTCTCAGTCGGGCGGGGGCCGGCTTCGATGACCCAGCTAGGAACACTGTGAGGCCTCGAGATGGACTAACTTGTACTGCCAAACCACATGTTGTAAACCAACTTCCCACAACGTCTGGCATCCTGAGATCGTCTTTTACACCCACTGGTTTCAGAACTAAGACAGCAGCCACAGAGGGAATGTGTGGCTATATGGAATGGACATGTGCCCCCGTCATGACATTCAAAGCAAACAAACTGGCCACTGAGTTGACATGGCATCCTGAACAGCAGGTTTGTGGGTCCATGGAATCATGCTGTGGATGACAGTTGATGATTTGATGAGAGGTACTTGACAAGACGGTGTTCACATTGACCTCTCTGACTGGGTAAGAGCCTATTTCAGACCCATTTCACCAAGTTGGTTACAAGAAAAATTAGGGTGGCTTACCGGTTTTGGGGAGAAAAGCAAAATTCAGCTGAGACTTTATAATCTGAAGATCATAATGTTATTGCGGCGCATGACCTTATCACAACTTGTCCAATAACATTTAACACAAGATCTGTAAAATAACAGAGCGCTGAAAATTTTAACCATTAAATCAGTTTAATTAAGGAGCCCCGAGTGAATCTATTAAAATCTTATTCAACTTAAGGATGCTGTAAAAAGCAATGTTATATGATTCAAAACTGGAATGTTAATCAAAGCAAAGTTATACGTTCTTTACTGAATTAAACTGAAATTGAGTCAAACTGATATAAAACTTCATTGAGATGTTTCTTCACATTAGTGTGAAATGTAATGGAAGAATAAGACACCTCGAAGCAACTTGGCATCATCATTAGCATTTAGTCTGCCCTTCAGTTAGTGTCAGATGGCCTGGCATGTAATGATTTGCCGCTTTGTTTGGAAAAATAATGTAAACTGTCTGACGACATCTGGTGCCCAACTGTACTTTCAACCTCTGCATACATGTAGCTATCAAATTTTGTTACTTGGCTTGCCAAATGGAGTTACTCGACTCTCAAAAAGACAATTTGGCCATTCAGGAAAATTGTGCATAGTGCATAGCTGTCATGTCAGGTGAAATAACTCCACTCTCACAGAGCCTATTTGGCCAACCAGAAAGATAGTGCATAGCTGATCTTTTTACTTGGCATGTCAGATGGAATAACTTTTCTCTCACAGAGGCAATTTGGCCATTCAGGAAAATTGTGCATAGCTGATCTTTTTTCTTGGCACATCAAACAAAATAGCTCTGCTCTCACAGAGCCAGTTTGACCATTCAGG